TGTATGCAACGTGATAATCACTTCACTGATTTTGCAAATGTCTTAACTGTTTTTCATTAAGAAAATCTCCTTCCTGATGTGCTGTCAACAGGTAGCCAAAATACTTTTACAAATAACAGAACTACAGCTAACTTGCTAGCTTTATAGTAAACTTCAGTTGCACGATATTGAAGATGACAACAAAACAGCTACTTCATACATATTCATACTGTTATTCAGAGTGACAAGAACTTCACAGCATGTCATCTTAGTGGGCTGACGTGAAATACCCTTGCATCAATATTCCTTCTTTTCCCTAATAGGAGAGTTGTGGAAAAGGCGTAAGCATTCTGCTTGAGTAGGAGTATTTAAACTATCCCTACTTTAGGGTTAAACTGACCTCAAAAAATAACAGCTGTTTTTGTAACTGAGATATGCCTCATGATTGAGACCATAGAATTTACAATCCTTGACAGGCATTTAAAATTACAGTTCAGAGTCCACTGCTCCCTTTCCTTTGTACTATTCAATCCCACCAAAATAAAAGACTGGCCGTAATTTTCTTGTTTGGGATTCTCCTGATGCAGAAGAACCTCCACGGAACTCAAAGCTGATTTTTACAGTAGGGATGGGAGTATTTTGGGGACCAGGAGGGGAGAAGCCAAGGTACAATACACTGCTGATAACTAGCTAAGATGCGCAGCGACTCCAGCCAGCAAATTTAGACTACATCATGGTTGACCTAATCTGCATCATGGCCTGGGAGAAGATCAGGGACTCCTGAAAGTCTCCCCAGCAGGCTCATTTCGACTTCACAGAGCATAAATCTGATGAAGCAGAGATAAGGCATATTAAACTGAAATAATGTATTTATGCTTGCTATACTTTTATCTTAATGCAGGACATAGTATCCTTTATAAGATCCTACAGTAAGCTAAGTGCAGATTTTCTGTTTTACTTGGTGCCAGATCCAGTGGTAGCAAGTCACTCAGGCAAACAGAAATCTCAGATGTTGGGTAGGGTCCTGCTCTGGAAACCAGCAGATACAGAGTCCCATGAAGACATAACACACAACCTGACAGCAGAGTGAAAACTAACTTTGGTCTACAGTGATAAAAGGCTCTCACTTAGGTTTCATTTAGCCAAAGGATATTCAAGTAGCAACAAGTATGTGAGCGAGTTGATTGGGGTGGGGGGCGGAAAGCCCAACATATTCCCCACAGTACTTTAGCCAATCCCATGTTTCATAAACAAACAGAATTAAGAAATGCCTCCAAGACAGTATATACACCAGTTTTTTCTGTATTCATTATCTCAGCTCTGAAGAGTAGAGACCTCAAACAAAATATTTTAAGGTCAAATACACACAGCTAGAACGATTCAATAGAAAGCTACCTGTATTTACAAATCCACTGGCTTACAGTTAGGAACCAAAAAAAGTTAAGCAACTATTAAAACCGATCTCACTGTTATTTAGCATTCATAATTCCACAGTAAGTCACTGAAGCTAAGCACTTTTGAATATCAGACTAAGCAGGAGAAAATGAATCTTTACTGCTGTAGTGATAGGTTATTAAAATAATAGCGATGCACCTTTATTTGCACTTGTTTGATGTGCTTTTTCTTAAAAGTCACAACCACCTTTACAACAAATCCTTTACACAACACTTCCAGAAACTTGTTACTTTAAAACATAGTAAAACTATTCAGAACACAGACTATTTAAGAACACTAAATGCTCTTCAGTCTCAAAAAAAAAAAAAGTTTTAGTATCCTTTCTATCATCAGTAGATTAGTAGGTAATTCATGTATGCATTAGGCAGCCTAGCTTTATGTCCAGTACATTACCACTACTACTTGCTCAACACGAAGTTTTATTTCTTCAAAAAGAACAAGCCAGTGAGAGACTCTTTATATGTGTAAATAAACAGACCAACAAATACAGTTGGATGTTGAGTACCATGATAATAATAGAATGTGGCTTCTACTATTACCTTGCAGTTTTTCAATGAACACGCTGACATAGTTTAAATAAAATTATTACTACAGTCCTGTAATTTAGAGTTAAAACTAAGCAGAGGCCAAGTTTTGTTTATGAAAGAGTTCCTGAAAATGTAACAAGACATGCACTTAACTTTCTCCCTTTATCAAGCCCTTCTAGCAATTGCATTTACTTCAAATCCTTGTTATTAAGACTTTCCTGTAGATTGGGTTGTTATAAACTGCAAGTTACTACAAAGTGACTGCAAAACTGAGCTGTCTGTTCTCAGAGGGCAGCCATCTGGGCTTGTTTATGTTTTCAACTTTGTGGAACAGGGAGTTGCTCTGTTAGAGACGGGACACCCTCGGGAAGGAAGTATCCCACAGAGCACTGTCTGCCTCTAGCTACGCATACAAATTCTGTTTCATTTCGGTCACGATTTCAAAAGACCATTCAACAACTACAAGTAAAGCATTTGGAAAAAATAGTAAGATGAAACTAAGACTCTTACTAAAATAGCTACCAAGAGACTGGGGTGGGCATACGAGGGGAAGCTACTCCTGGTATACAACTAAGAAACAGACTTACTTCTGCATAAAGTAACAAGGACAATGACAGCCTGTTTTCAGAAGTTGAGCACATTTAAAAAAAATGTTATTCAATTAATGCTCAGGCACAGCGTACTTTCTGAACCGTCACACTGAATTCAGACAGCCATTATTCAAAGTGAGTACGGATGGCAGTATGTGATTCACAGGAAACTAGGAAAATCTCTAACAGTTTTTAGCCAGCTTCCTTAACAAGGACAGTTGTGTAATTTGGAGGGTTTGGTTGTTAAAAATACTTCAGTAGTTTCCATTGTAATTTTATCTAAGTGAGGACCTTCGTCATGATTTGCGTTTCAAAATAAGAGTCTTACGTTTTGGCTAGCTTTGATAAAAGTATCTAAGATTTACTGGAAGTCAAACAAGACAGAACTACGTTAAATCCTATTCTTTGCTTTCTCAGAACAGTAAAGATATAACATAAAAAGATACCTTCTAAAGTAAAATCCAGCAATACATATTCATAAGCAGAATCTGTCTTTGTCTCAACTTGTGGTCTCTTCAGTGTAGAAAAGATTTTTCCAGGGCTGCTATCATCTGGGTCTTCCAGCTTTCTCAGTCCGCACCCCATGGCAAGATCTGCAAATGATTAAATCGCAGGAAGAGGTGGGGGGAGCAGCAAGATCTGTCGCTCTCACTACAGGGGGGGAAAAAAAAAGGTAACCAAATAATTCCCTTCGATTTTGTTTTGTACTAGCCGTAAATCCAAATAAAGAAGAAGTCCGGTTCCCACATCGAAAAGTGAAGGTACTTTCCATTCATTTTCTATACAGAAACAGTAAGCCTGTGATGTTTTCAAGCTACAGACTTGGTAAGCCTAGGCTTGATTTCGCAGCAATGTTAGAGCTGCTACAAACTAGCAGAGATTTTCCATGCCACGTCAATTTACAGCCAGCCCCCTATCAGTGCTCTCTTGCAGAGGACACCAATAGTGCTTTGTTTGTCCTTCTAGACTGACTGGGTAGGGGGGGCGGTAGGAGGGAGAAGAACTGAAAAAGAAAGTTAGAGAGAAACTTGTCTGTAAGTACTTACCTCCAGAAGTTCTACTCAACTGCAGTAGCAAGTCAGAGGGGAAAAAAGCAAGTTAGTCAGAATGAAAGAATGAGAAAAGAGCCTCAACATGGTTGGAGACGAAAATCATTTCCAGAAAGGAAGTCAGCTTCAAGAGGAAATTGCTTCTGGCATCTCAAAGAGTAGAAAAGTAAATGAAAAGCAGTTTAGTCCTTATTTTAGATTTCAAAGTTTGGTTCCTATTTCCCTTCCACAGGAACTTTTCTTCCCAAGGAAAAAAAAAAAAAAAGAACATAGTGTAATATATTGTCATAATGTAAAAATATGTAGTAGAGGAATTTCTTGTCAAAAAAATCAGTAAGAATCTACATTGCTAAAATCAACTTACGTAATTGGTCTTGATAAACACCAAAAAATGACACTGAAATATTCCTTATTTCAAATCAGAAAGACTTTTTCGATGTTATATATGAGTATAGTTACAAGACTTTGTTCCCCATTTTTCATGGGTATTGAACAACTGAAATCCTCTTCTCTGTCAGGCTGACCTCAGTTAGTACAGCCATGGAGTTTCAACACTGTTTCCTAAGCATATTCTTCTTTAAGTACTGAAAATTTAGTATAACTTTAAGGGCTCTCATTACTCTTACAGCAACTACTGCAAGTCACTTGTAACTGTATTACACCTGATGCAGACCACGATAATGCATGGGAAAACAAAGGAACACTGATTGATTTTCTAAGGCCCTGTTACTGCCGGGATGGGCGGTTAGAAAATTTACCTTTTTATTTTTAGGCTGCGTCTAAAGAAATTAAGAGTCATCTAGAGAAAACCAGAGATTCCTAATACCATTTTGGATGAAAGGAACTGCATCCTTTGATGCATTTGAATTTAAAAAGCTTTTTGATATTTTTCAGTGAAAAAAAGTAATCTTATAAAAAATGCCCACATTTTCTATAATCAATCACTGCAAGTTAAGCATTAACCATTTGTGATTTTCTTCCTGTTCTACCGCAAGCAAAGCGATCTAACTTTTATTTAAGTAGCTTACCATGAATGGTAAGTCTGCAGACTATATCCCCTTTGAAATCCACATTATAGTTTAAAGTTACTTAACTTTGGAAGAATTTAAAAATCACTGAGTGCAGAGCCTATGCAATAATTATGACTTCAATCCTACAGTCTTTAAAGCAAGCTTCCAGGTGCTGAAACTAAGAGGAAAACCCTCAGTGTTGTCTTCTTGATTAAAACCTAGGAAAACATACCAAATGAGCAGAATTCTTCAGCTTCCTGCATGTCCGCTTACACAGAAATTACTCCCAAACACCTTTTTTTTTCCTTCAGTAAAGGTCATCCTTGAATTGTTGCTATACCAGACATACATGTAAACTGTCCACTCAGCCTTGTGAATCCTGCAGCTTCATTCCACACAGTCCTTAAGATCCACTGTAACTGCTTGTATGAAGCCATGGCATGACTAAGATAGCTGCAAGTAAAACAACTTCTTGCAGCACTAGCCCAGTTGCCAGCTGGTTGTTTTTTTTTTTTATTTAACTAAAGATAGCTACATTTTTCATGAGGCCAGAACATTGTATTTTGAGCTCTTTGTGACAAGGCTGAAACCATATTTCAACCCTCTCACCAAGATAGGATTTTCCACAGTATAAACAAATTCTTATGGAACCAAAACAGAAACACTGTTATGGACAAAGGTAATGGGCCTTATTTTAGGTAACCCCAGATTAGTTACGTACTTATAAGCTTCCAAGTTGGAAGTCAGTCAACAGTTGCCATTGCAGACTTGACTCAAAAGTCACTAGACTGAATCAGTGAAACCAAAGATCCCACATGTCAGAATAAAGAAAACAAAACAAAAACAACCAAGAACTAGCAGCATCCCTCACAGGAGTTCAAAACTGCATCAAAGCACCTGAATGACTCCAGAGAAGAACAGGATCGCAAGATTCCTGGATTCAAGAGCTGCTGAAGGAACTGCCTGAATAGCTATAGTATCCTGTTGCAAAGTAGATATAAACTGCAAAACAGTCCATTTCTAGTGACTCAAAATGCAAAGGCTCAGGGAACTGATATAAGAGAAGAACAGATCCCTAAAACTACACTGTGATTCACTGAGGTGTGGTAGTCACAGCAACCCCCACTGAAAAAGCATGTGACTCATTCATTGAAGCTTGATATAATTTTTAGACTTTTTAAAAGGCAAACGAAGATAGTCAAACAATGGACCGATTAATCCAAAGGAACTATGTTTCTGTGGAAGTCTTCCAGGATCCCCCTACAGTTTTTATTCTGATGAAATAGAAAAATGATACAAAGATGGCAAAAGAGTAGCAGACCAACAGGAGCATGGGTCCAGTGCTGGACTATTGACTGTCTTCCAGCAGTGCAGGATGAGAAGCAGCAGCAGTTCTGCACAGTAGTTTTGACCAGAAAGTAAGACAAGCCTTGCTGTCTACCCACACCTTCAGGGTTGTTCCTCTCCCTTGCTCATGATGCACTTTGTTCCCTGTTGCCGGTGTCGTGGGAGGTTTGAAAACATTTGTGTGGGAAGCATTTTTGTCTTTCTTCTTACATTACTAAACTCACTGAATGTAACGACATCATCTGATGCTTGAAGCTGATGTTTTGAAATAGATGTCCCTCTGTTCCTGACTTCACAGTGATCTGCTCACTATTAATGTCATTGACGTCCAAGGCAGGCTCTCTGTCTATGGTGTCAATACCAAATACAAGTGGTGTTGGCACCCCTTTTTGACAAAATTTCTCTTGCTAGAAAGACGACACTTTGTTTTTGGAACATCTGTGATAAACCGACTGGAATACAAAGCCTATTTACAAGAATGCCTTCTCTCTTCCAAAACCAAATATGACCTGCATAAACCATTTAATGAAATAATACAGTTTAAACTTTGTCTTCCCCAGTATCTTAAAAGATCAAGAATGGGAAATAGTACTTGACAGTAGTATGTTCTTTTTTTCAAGTCATCTGAGCTTCCTGTTGATTAAAATCATAGAATCATTTAGGTTGGAAGACACCTTTAAGATCATCAAGTCCAACCGTAAACCTAGCACTGCCAAGTCCACCACTAAACCATGTCCCTAAGCACCACATCTACACGTCTTTTAAATACCTCCAGGGATGGTG